GTCTCCAGGGGACCCCGCAATCGGGCAGCTCCGGCTGTTGGGTTTCTTTTTGGTGATAATGCGCCCAGCAAAAGAAGCGCTGGAGGTGCCCTGCGTCCCCTCGAGGCGCTTGCAGGGCTGCCGTGCCTCTACCTCGGCTTCTAATTTAGTGCCTTGCCTTATTTAATGGAAAATTCTTCAATTAAATGCTCGGTTTTCTTAAAAATGCAAAGTTTTGGAAGGGTTCGGAGCGTGGGACCGCGTGGGACGGAGACGCTTGTCCCATCAGCTTCGCAGGCAAGGTGTAGGCGAAGGACGGAGCCGCATCTCCCTAAACCCTCTGAACCTTGGCTTTAATTTCCTCCGATTTCCCAGCGGAAACGCTGGTTCTGCCGTTATTTTAGCCCCTGGCTTCATACTCGGTGCCCCGGGCATCTGCGGCAGCAGGTTGAGGAGGAGGAAGATCCCGTTGACCTGGGGAGAGAGCTGCAACACGGAGGTCGTTCCCCTTAATTAAACAAAAAGCCGTGCCAAAAATTTACCGCCGCTGGCCGGGCCACCACCGGGTCCCCTGCCCTTGGCCGGGGCGGGGGGGGAAGTGTTCAAGTCACAAACTGGAGTTTCTCCTCCCGCAGCGCCCGCCGGGGCCTTCGTGACCCCGGTGAGGGCCGCAAAGAGCATGAAGAAAGCTTTGTCTCCGGTTTTAATAGCGTTTGAGAAGCTGCTTAATTGAACGTCCTATTAATTCTGGGGCTCTTGCGACACGCACGCACGCGCGCGGCCGGCGTTGGGGACTGGCGTGGATTTTAGTGCCGGCAGCTGCCCAGGCTCAGCTGCAGCCGGGATTGCGTGCGCTGTCGTGGCTGGTGGCTGCGGTCATGCCCAGGTTTCAGGTGTCTGGAGGTGGAAAATACCTTTGATTTGTAATTTTTTTTGATTTCCTTTGGGTCTGCTGCCAGCTTCTTAAGAGGAAACAAGAGCTGAATTCCCCCCTGCTTTGCTGGGAATTCACAGCGCAGGGTCCCTTCTTCTTCCTGGTCCTCTTGGCTGGACTTTCTGGTGTAAATGAGTAACTCCTGACTCAGGGATTTAGGGGAGAAAACGAAAGCAAGCGCCGTTTGACACCGGTTTTCCCCTTCCCACGCCCCGAGTAGAGGAGAAAGGACATCACGTCGTTAGGCTGAGCTAAACGAGGAGCCGAGGATGCGCCGGCGTGAGCGCGCTCAAGAAGCAAGGGTGGGTGTGAAACGTTCTGCGCCTCTTGGATCCTGAAACTGGGGGTGGGTTTACTTATCCCGACGCCGGGCTGATCCTTCCGGCTGCAGAAAGCCACGGCGGGGAGGAGCGGGAGAACCATGGAATGGGAGACCCCCGGCGGAAGAGAGGGAAAACCATGGTGGAAGGGCGACCAGGTTCCAACCACGCGTCCTTGCGCTTCCAAAGCCTTGCATCTCTCTTTTTTTAAGGTAATTAAAACCTAATTTTAACGAGACAAAGCTGATCCACAGGAGGAAGTGGGGGAAATGACCCTCGGGAGCCGCAGAGGACGTGCGGTGATTTTTTTTTTTTAAATATCCACATCGAATTTCTCTAATTTTGCCGTGGAAACCCCACCCCAATACGCTTGGATGCCCCAATCCGTTGCTTTTTGCTGGTGTAGGAGACTCCCGCACAAGCGAACATCAGCAGGATGAAGGCGCCGGCGCTGCCTCCCCTGGAATTCTCCTTTCCTCCCAAAAACCCGTTGGCCGAAACGCATTTGCAACCGTGCGTACCTTGAGTTTTGTCGACGGAAGAGAAGGCGGCGGCTTCTCCGCCAGGCGGAAGCGACTGGAAAACCCAAATTTCAGCAAATTCCTCAGAAATTTGTCGGATGATGCCATCACCCGGCCGCGTCCTGCAGTTTGTTAATAAATCGCCCGCTTTGTGCCGAGGATTAACGTGGGAAACGGTGCAGGATCCTCCACACCGGGCCCTTCCTCGCCCTTGGCGGACGCTTGGTACGTTGCTGCCTTTGCTCGTTGTGGATTTGGTCTTGGAAATCAGTGGCTCCCCCAGCTCTGGTGCAGGGGGCGGTGGGTTTATTTGCTGTAGAAAATTGGGAAAGTGGTCTTAGGTCCGTGGGAGGGTTGGGCACGGCCGCGGCGACGCTTCGCCGTGTCGCACACCCAGGGATAACCCATCTGTTGCACGAGATTAAAGCGTTTAGGACCCAGATGGTTGAAAGCTTAAATCAATCTTTGCAAAGATCCAAACGACCCCGTTTTGGGGACTTTGCTGCTGCTTCTGGGCTGTGGTGAGAAAATTTCCAACTGGGAGGGAATTTCTCCGTCTTGGTGCTGTGTTTCCAGCTGCCGTGGCGGCCGGGCTCTCCAACCGGAGCACGGGAGTGTCAGAGAGGAGAAGGGGGAGCCAGTTCAGCCAAAGCTCAAGAGCAACCAGTTAAAATAGTGCTGGGGGCACGCTGGGGTCTCACTGGGCTCCGGGTGCTCGGCACCCACCCAGGCTCGTCCTCCAAAATGGGGAGAAACAGCAAGGATTGAGGAAAAATGCTGGAGGAAAAGCGGCGTTCCTGGCCAAGTTGGCAGAATCACAGAACCACAGAATCATGGAATGGCAGGGGTTGGAAAGGACCTTGGGGGATCACCCAGTCCCACCCCCCTGCCCAAGCAGGCTCACCCAGAGCAGGGGGCACAGGACACCATCCAGGCGGGGGTTGAAGATCTCCAGAGAAGGAGACTCCACAGCCCCCCTGGGCAGCCTGATGAGATCCCCTCTCAGCCTTCTCTTCTGCAGGCTGAACAAGCCCAGCTCCCTTAGCCTTTCCTCCTAGGGGAGATGCTCCATTCCCCCCATCATCCTTGTTGCCCTCCTCTGGACTCTCCCCAGTAGCTCCTCATCCTTCTGGAACTGGGGAGCCCAGAACTGGACACAGAGCTCCAGGTGGGGTCTCCCCAGGGCAGAGTAGAGGGGGAGGAGAACCTCCCTCGCCCTGCTGGCCACGCTCCTCTTGATGCGCCCCAGGATGCCCTTGGCCTTCTTGGCCATCAGGGCACCCTGCTGGCTCATGGCCACCTTGTTGCCCACCAAGACCCCCAGGTCCCTCTGGGCAGAGCTGCTTCCCAGCAGGTCAGCCCCCAGTCTGTACTGGTGCTTGGGGTTCAACCTCCCCAGGGGCAGCACTCGACACTTGGCCCTTGTTGAACTTCATCAGGTTCCTGCCGTGCAAGCAGCCCCGAGCCCTGGCCCAACCTCCTGGGGAGTAACTGCGTTCCTTCAAATTGAGCGATGAGTAATTAGTTGAAGTCGTTAAAAGGTTTGACAGCGGCTCGGCAGCATTGTTGAAATTGCACCGGTGCCACGGCTGTTAACGCCCTTTTACTTGCGAGAGCCTCGCCTCCAGGAGCAACACGCGCTGCCGACAAGTGATGTTCCTGCAGGAAATAGCCCGGAAGAGCTGAGAATTTGCAGACCCAACTCCTAAAATTACCCCCAACTCCTTGCGTTGATGCCCAAACACCCGATTCTTCTTCGTGGCCTTGGGATCACCTAACCTGGTTGACTCAGCTGACGCAGGGTGACCTCGTGGAGGGGTGAAATGTGGGGGCTGGGGGTTGGGTTTGGGTTTTGAGATCAAACGAACGTGAGGGTAGGGTTTTGAAAGCCAAGCGCCCGGCAGCGTGGCAGGTTCACGGCCGCCTTCGTCTGTCGTGTGAATCGGTCCGACTGGTAGAACTGCACCATCCAGACATCAAAGTGGAAGAGATCTTGTGGAAGGCTGCGCTCCTCAGGTTGTTCCGACGACCCGCGGTGTCATCTGCACGCGAGTGAATTTTGATTTTTGCCGTAAGGTGAAAGCTCTTCTGCCGTCAGGCTGTAAAAGCAAAGGATTTCCGCTGCCGCTGTTGATAGAATCGCAGGTTTGGGGCTGATGGGGCCTTCAAAACTCATCCAGTTCAACTCCCACCTTCCGCTAGACCGGGTTGCCCCAAGGTCCAGCCTGACCTTGAACCCTTCCCACAACTTCCATCTGCAACTTCCCTGAGCAACCTGTGTCTCATCACCCTCATAATTTTGAGAGCCGTAATTAGGATCGTCCCTCCCTCGAGCGCTGCTTCCCTCCGGGGGGATTTCCTCGCATCGGCTGATGCTTTGGGCATGTTGGGCGCCTCTTCAAGGCGGTGGTTGGATCTCTACACCTTTCTTTTTTTATTTTTAAACTATTCTGATCCTATTAGACCCCATCTGTCTGTGGGGAGCGAAGAGGTAATCCTCCCAGTAGAAACCGTATTGAGTGTTAAGCTGGCACTAGGCTTGATCTTCAGTCAAAAGGCAAAGCAAAGACGGGGACGGTTTCTTTTACTCCGCTTTCTTTTCGGTGCTGCATCGGAAATGCCCTCAAAGCAAATCCCCTCCACCACTGATCCCCTTGCCCCCTCTGCCACGGATTCCCTCATCCCTCCTGTGGATCTCCACTGTGGATCCCCTCGTCCCCTCCCATGGATCTCCAGCAGATCCCCTCTGCCACAGATCCCCTCGTCCTCTCCACTGTGGACCCCCCTCATCCCCCTCCACCACGGATCCCCTCGTCCCTCCCATGGATCTCTGCTGTGGACCCCCTCGTCCCTCCTGTGGATCTCCACTGTGGACCTCCTTGTCCCCCTCCCATGGATCCCCTCGTCCCCCTCCACTGTGGACCCCCCTCATCCCCCTCCACCATGGATCCCCTCATCCCTCCCATGGATCTCTGCTGTGGACCCCCTTGTCCCTCCCGTGGATCTCCACTGTGGACCTCCTTGTCCCCTCCCATGGATCTCCAGCAGATCCCCTCTGCCGTGGACCCCCCTCGTCCCTCCCATGGATCTCCGCCGTGGACCCCATCTCCAGCAGATCCCCTCTGCCGTGGACCCCCTTGTCCCCTCCCATGGATCTCCAGCAGATCCCCTCTGCCACAGATCCCCTCGTCCTTCCTGTGGATCTCCACCGTGGACCCCCTCATCCCCGCGTGTGGATCTTCAGCGGATCCCCTCCACCGGTGGACCCCCTCATCCCCTCCCATTGATCTCCGCTGTGGACCCCCTTGTCCCCTCCCCTGGATCTCCAGCAGATCCCCTCCTGGCGCGTCTTCGCCGCTGCCGGTAATCTCGTTGGTGCTAGCGTTCAGATGCGAGGCGTATAAAATCACCCGGGCGGAATTAGGGTCTGTTTGGGGTTTCTGAGCTGAAATGCTGATTTTATTTATATTTATGGGGTTTATTTTTCCTCTTAGGGAGAAACGTCGGCCGTCCAACCACGGGGACCAGCAAGAACTGAAGCGCTGCTGGTACGGACAGGATGGGAACGACGAACTTCATCGCCCCGGCACCCTGCTTGGCTTGAGAACCATCACCCTGCCTTCCACCGAGCTCCCACGTCTCACCGGCTGCCAGAAACACTAATCCTCTTGGAAGCAGTTGATTGGGACAGGATGTGTGGACGATGATGATGGCAAGAAAGCAAGATGTTCGCATTCCCACCTATAACATTAGCGTGGTGGGATTGTCCGGGACAGAGAAGGAGAAGGGGCAGTGCGGCATTGGGAAATCCTGCCTTTGCAACCGGTTTGTACGGCCCAGCGCGGATGAGTTTCATTTGGACCACACTTCGGTTCTCAGCACCAGTGACTTTGGGGGAAGGGTGGTCAATAATGACCATTTCCTCTACTGGGGGGAAGTCGCGCGTTCCCTGGAGGACTGCGTCGAATGTAAAATGCATGTCGTGGAGCAGACGGAGTTTATCGACGACCAGACCTTTCAGCCTCACCGCAGCACGGCCTTGCAGCCCTATATCAAGAGGGCTGCTGCGACCAAACTGGCGTCGGCTGAAAAGCTCATGTACTTTTGCACTGATCAGCTTGGGTTGGAACAGGACTTTGAACAAAAACAGATGCCAGATGGGAAGCTGCTGGTGGATGGCTTTCTGCTCTGCATCGACGTTAGCAGGGGGATGAACAGGAACTTTGATGATCAGCTGAAATTCGTTTCGAATCTTTACAATCAACTGGCGAAAACGAAAAAGCCCATCGTGGTGGTCCTGACAAAGTGCGACGAAGGCGTGGAGCGGTACATTAGGGATGCACATACTTTTGCCTTAAGCAAAAAGAACCTCCAGGTCGTGGAGACGTCAGCGAGATCCAATGTGAACGTTGACTTGGCTTTCAGCACCTTGGTGCAGCTGATCGATAAAAGCCGGGGAAAGACTAAAATCATCCCCTACTTCGAAGCTTTGAAACAGCAAAGTCAACAGATTGCTGCTGCTAAAGACAAGTACGAGTGGCTGGGGAGCCGCATCGTCAAAAAACCCACCCAGAAGGGGGCG